CGAGAATAGGTGAAGGGGGGGGGGGGGTGTGATCCCCTAGGACAAGAAAAAAATAGTCTTCACTTTATGTACATTCTTTCGTATTATCTTTGACATAACTGTTGTTTCAAGCAATTATAACATCATATACTTGAGAGTAGCGCTGTGGATATATTGGTGATTGTATTAGGTTGTTTATTAACTAAGAAGATTCTTGGCTCTTGAGTTTTATAGATCTCCCTCCATCCCCACTACCGATGACATGATTATTTGGTCTAAACGTTGGTGATGCTTTGAATAGGGCAATTTATAAGGGTGGTATTTTCCCAGAACAAAGTATAATTTTGAGTAACCCGCAGACCATCTTTTATCTTTCGTTTCAGATTTGTTAGTGTTCCTTAATTAGAACATCTTGTTATTGGCATCGTTTGCTTTACTCTTCATGGTGGTAATTTTTTGACCACCTAGCAGGAAATTTGTCTTTCCTAGTAGTCATAATCCTCTTAGTCCTGCTCTCTCATGTTGTTGTTATTACTTCTGTCCACCACAAATCAAGCTCAAATTTGGATGCACTTTTTATTCTTTTGTAATTTAACCAATATATCTTAGAAGAAGACACTTACAAGTGGTGAATAATTCTTGTATTGCATACTGCAGAAGTTGGTCAACTCGGAACATCTGACTTTGAGTTGTCCAAATACTGGTAGATTCAGAGTTTTCCCTTTCGCCAACATTTCAGAGGCAAGGTTTCAGGACATATGCAATCTGATATGCTCCTAGAAGGTCATGGTTGAGTTCTGGTGACTAATTTTTCGCAGTATATATACTTGTATAAACTACTGTGCTTCAGAGTTCTTAATCAAATTCTTGTGCATAACATCAGCATCAAACTTGTTGCTATGAAGGATTTAGCTGTTGACTTGTGGATAACCTTGTCCCTCTTGCTTTTAAAGCTTCTTTTCTTAGTGATCATGTGTCTTTTCTGTTATGGTTTTCATGGATCCGAAGGCACTGCTTGTATAGCTCACAGCCTCACAGTTTCAACAAGGTGACAGATTTATGTCTAAATTCATGTGAAGCAAAATCGGGTGCCCAAATGAATATGGATTCAATTTTGTTTTGTTTTTTGAGTTTATTTTTTTAAAAGTTCAATGGTTGCTTTGTTCATAATGCATATTTTCTCCTTTTGACATAGAAAACTGAGAATGTTCATTTTGTATTCTAGACTTCCAAAATATTTATTTGAAGACATAGGAATCGGTATAAGATGTGATAAAATATAGAAAAAGAACCTTAAATCTATGGTAAAATTAAGGACTAAAAGAGAGATCTCCTTCTGAATACAATGTGGTTGGGTCCTGCTGGAACATTTTCCTCTTTTACCTAATTCTCTACCATCCCAAAGTAAATAAGAAAAGAAATTAAAGAGCAAATAACAAACTAGCTCGACCATTTCTTTTTTGTTTTCCTTCCAGAAAAAAGAGTAAATTATTTCAAATGTGTATCTTCACAAACAAGCGCCCATGGCCTAATGGATAAGGCGCTTGACTTCTAATCAAGCGATTGTGGGTTCGAGTCCCACTGGGCGTGTGTATTTTTTTTTCTCGGTTCGGTTCTAGGTCTGAGTAATATTTTTTTAGGGGAAATTACTAGTTAATTTGTCATCATAACTATAGTTTTAGTTGATTACCACTCACGATCAACATTTAGTGATAATTACATGGGTTGGGGTTTCGAGTTTGTATAATTTACACGTTTGTATAATTCGAAATTTGTATAACTGTTTAAAGTTAAAATGTTTGTGTTTTTATAAATTCATTATTTTGAGTTTATACAAAAATAACTCAATTATACAAACGTACCCGCGAATTATACAAACTCACCCATGCATTATACAAACGAGACAACTTAAACTGTATCTACAACCCATAAATATGCAAACTATAGATATGAAGCATAGGAAATATTACGCGGTTAAGCAAACTTATACCACTTAATTACTCATCATAGTTATAGTTTGCTATAATTACCACTCGCGACTAATATTGACCATTAATTACGTGGGCTTGCTTCGAGTTTGTATAATTAGCCACATTTGTATAATTCGCCACATATAATCCACAACTAACAATTCTTCATTTGATTTGTATTTGTATACGATGGTTTTTATTTGTATATAACGATAATTTCCTTTGGTTTTTAGTTTTATCACCATATACATTCAATCCTTTTTGTATAACTTTTTAAAGTTTGTATAAACGTGTAGTTTTCAGATTTTGTATAATGTGATTTATATAATGTAATTTGTATAATATAATTTGTATAACTGTTTAAAGTTCATATTTTTATTTTGTATCAATTAGATATTTCGAGTTTTATCATTATTGTATAATTCCAGACTTTGTATTACTCAATTATACAAAAACACGCGAATTATACAATCGTACCCGCGAATTATACAAACGAGATGTGAATTATACAAATTATTGCCCTCTCTCCCCCCCTCTCCCAATCTCGCTCGCCTATCTCCTCCCTCTCCCAATCTCGCTCGCCAGATATACAAATACATATGTATATCAGTTACATATATACAATTATTTTGACAGATGTACATATACAATTCGCCTCTCTCCATTCTCTGCCCTCTCTCGCTCACCTCTCTCCTCCATCTCCCAATCTCGCTCGCCTCTCTCCTCCATCTCCCAATCTCGCTCGCCACTCTACTCCTTATAACATATAGCTACGAATCGTAATTAGCAAACTATAGCTATGAAGCATAATTAAGCTATTTTTGAGTGGATATATGCGAAAGTTCCCCTTATATTTATTATTATGGCTATTTGCGAAAATTTCCTATCTCTTTTATTAATTATTCTTTTCTCTTAAGTGTCTAAACTCTTTGATTATGGCATTATGCACATTTCACTTATGTTCATGTCAATGTTGGATATTAGTTGTGAAAGTAACAAATTGCTGCCTTCATGGCTTACAATTTTTTCATAAAAAATACTAATAATCTCAACGGAATACATATTCTGAAAAAATCTTTTAAATTTATAAATTAAATATTACCAAGCACACAGAAAAAAACATTATCATATGTAGAACTTTTTCCGAGTGATGCAAAAAATAGTACTTTTGACCAGCCTTGTCTCCCATATATATTCTCGTAATAATTACGTGCAAATACAACTGAAACAAATAATAATGCTCTTAAAATTGACCCATATTTATTTTAAAAGAAAATCCACCTCTGTCCTATATTATTAAAAAAAAAATACATCGAGCAAGTCACATAGGGCTTGCCTAGTGTGGTTTACATTCCATGTGTGATTTGCAGTCTATTACAGTGGGGGTTTACCCAGTGCGCACAAAGTGCTCACCCGAAGAGCAGAGGTTGTGGCAGAAGTTGTAGCGGTTGCGGGTTATCCTGGGATTCCAAAAAAAAAAAATACAAACATTTTTTTCCTTAAATTTACTAAACATAACAAGAGTTGTTGTGTTATAAATAAATAACAATAAGAGACTTTGTACAATTGATAGTTTGCTTTAATTCAACTTTTGTAGTAAGATTCAGAGGAACTAATATCTACTTTGAGATTGAAAAAAATCAACTTGTTCAAGAGGATGAACTGTTGCAATATCTACATTTTGTATAAACAGTGTGTATAAATGTATATACATTTTTGATACATACTTACACACAATTATACATTGTTTATATAGTATCGATACATTATATATAGTTAGTGCAATCATTTTGGTTGAATTTTGTTTGTCCCCTATACAATTATGTAAGAATATTGTTATTAAATCCATTTTGAATATAATCTTTTAAATGAATTAATGACCAACACATTTATTTTATTCATTTTTCATTATTAACTACTACTCTTATTTATTTCTCAATGATTTATGATAATTAGAGATGATAAAATAAAATTATTACTTTATTTATTATTACTTTTTTAATGAAATTTTTCAAAAACAAATATTAGCAAATAAACAAGTAACTGAGGGAGTAGTAGATATTGGAGGTGCCATATCATTACTCATCTTCTTCTTATTCTTCATGGTTTCACAAAAAAAATTCACTCCATAATACATAACACATATTCTTTTAATTTAGTTTCAGTACTTAAATATCAATGACCTTTAGTTTTGAATATGGACAAGTAAAGACTCAAATTTGTATAAAGTTGAATAAGTAAACACACGAGTCCTACATGACAATTCACATTAGATACACTTGAACTTATTTGTATCATGTCGTGTAGGATACATGTGTCTACTTGTTCAACATTATACAAACTTAAGTGTCTACTTATGCACATCCAAAATTAAAGAACATAAATATCAATTGATACTAAGTTAAAGAACACGTTTATATATTATACCTTTCCTCACTAAGTCAAACGTTGGAAAAGTAAAAAAGGGAATTAATAAGAAGGAAAATGAAGCAACTCCAAAAGGTATTTGCTTCATTTGAAGGAAAACTAACAGAATGAAATTAAAGAAACTCTTGACGTTTTCTCAATCAATTCTCAACAAGAAAGCATCAAATTTTTTATTTTCAAACTTTTTCCTTGCTTCTTTGATGTTTTTGGGGTCCAAGTAGTGTCGGAGTCAGAAATTTTATTAAGAATGTCCAAGAATAATGATGTGTGGCTGTTAAAATAAAAAAATAAAAATATTGTGCTATTTGTGGTTCAAACTCGGAACCTTCATTGAAATGGACATCCATTATCATTGCGCCAAAGGCATAACTTTTGTCAAGTGTGTCCAACTTTTAATGCATATCCTTTAAATGTAGAATTTGACATATATATACAACATAATATTCGACGCAGGGTGTCCCTAGGATAGCTATAGGTACGCCCCTGGGTCCAAGTGAAATCAAGCATGTGAACGTTATAATTATCATAACATTGGTGAACAGAGTTACCTAAAATCTGTTATTAGTGTCTGATAAGAAGTGATAAATATCTCATAAAATTAATCGAGATACGTAAAAGATGGCTAAATACCACGGTCATAAAACGAAGAAAAAAAAAAAGACAGCCCCCAAATGAGCCAGCCGAAAAATTGAAGTGAAATGTGAGTGGTCAAACTTTTTTCTAATAATAATTGCGCCTACAAATAAAGCCTTTAACGCCGTCCATCCCATTTTTTTTATAAAAAATATATATGGAGTTATGATATTTAAAATAAAATAAAATGAAAAATATGTAATTATAATATAATATAATAGAATAGAATATAACCCTTTAAATTATTACCCCTTCACAAGATTTTACGTACATATTATCCTGATCAAATTCTATTTATATATTATATTTAATATGTTAATATTGTATAATTTTAAATTGTGATCTATTTCCACAAAGATGTCATGGTATATTTAAAAATAAAAGATTTAAATTATTTATTTATTAAACTTCATCTCTAAACAAACCACACCGTTTAAATTGAACATACAAAAATACTTCTATCTATAAAGGCCTTGGGGAGCAACATGCAATTGGTCCATCTAGTACTTTGATTCAATTGAATAGGAAAATGCTAAAATTGCCAGCCTCTAAAACAAGTTTTTTTTTACGATCGTCTCTAAAAATAAAAATTTATGGATTAAAATATTTTAAATTTTTATTTTATTCGATATAAGTTGTGACTTTGTGTAGTATTTAAT